TGCCAAGCCCCCATCAGCCTGCTCTCTCGGGACGTGGTCCAGAAGGACAGATCCCAGGTTTGGACACCTTGCATGTTGCCAGGCACTTCTTGCCATGTCCTCCTTTTATTTCCAAACTCAAAGCCGCCTGCAGAAGGGCTGCCTGGGCACCTGCCCAACTCCTCATAGTCCCCCTCCTTTGCCCAGCCCCAGAGATGCCATCAGATCGCTGTGTCCTTTCTCCGTTAGAGGAGATTGGCAGGTGCAGTGGGTATGGACAAGTGTGGCAAAGTGGTGGGCTGGAGGGGAGGCTGGCAGGCCTTGCTTTTTGGTTTATCACAGCCACTTCTGAGCCCTGACTTGAAGATGGGGCTGCAGGTGTATGGTTGGGAGTGGCTGCCCTGCCCCTCCCTTCCTGCTGGCCCCCTGGCCTGAGCCTTTACCAGTTCCTCCGCCTCAGCTTTCTGAGAGCAATTAGAAGACCTCCCGACAGGCAGGCAGCCCTACAGCATGCCCTGCTTCCCCAAAGGCTAACACAGCACCTCCCCAGTGGGTCTTGGGACAGAAGACTCCACCTCACTGTCCAGAGTCGCAGTCACTTGCCCTGCGTTCTCCCAGCAGTGCAGTTCATTTGTTCTGCTCTTGAGTTCATGGACCCGCCTCTGCCTCTGCCTCTGCCTCTGCCTCTGCCTCTGCCTCTGCCTCTGCCTCTTGGTCTGCAGCATTTGCCTCCTGTCGGTTTGCTCCACACGGACTAGGAGCCTTCCTCGCAGCTGCAGGCATGCCTGTAGTTTGATTGTGATGCAGCTGTAATGGGGCGGGGGGCTTCTCTCAGACAAACTGAAGCACCGCCTGTCTCCACTTGAGCAGCCATCCTAGCCCTGAGAGTAAAGTTCCAGGCCTTTACCTCTTACAGTGGCCCTGGCCCCTGATGCTGGCATCTTTCATTCCTGCAGCACAGCCGTTGCTCTGAGCCTCTGCACACGCTCCTCCTTCTGCCCAGAACATTCTCATGTCCACTTTCCCCCTTTTAACTCCTTGTCATCTTTGGAGACTCTGCTTAAATGCCATTTTAGCTCAGATACACATATCCCACCCCAGGTCTTGCCAAAGACCCTGACGGTACCCTCCAGGGCATCATGCTTTTGCTCTTAGAATAGCTGTAATATTGATAAATATTTAAAATATTTTTTATTGATTTCAGAGAGGAAGAGAGGGAAAGAGAAACATCAGTGATGAAAGAGAAGCATTAATCGGCTGACCCTGCATGCCCCCTACTGGGGATCGAGCACGCAGCCCTGGCATGTGCCCTGACGGAGAATGGAACCATGACCTCCTGGTTCTTAGGTTGATGCTCAACCACTGAGCAACACTGGCCAGGCTGATAAATACTTTTAGTTGTGAGGGAGCCGAGGGCTGGGCTTTCCCTGGGTCCATTGGTGGCAGGCTTGGCCCACCTTTGCCGGGCAGAGGCCAGGCAAGAAGGGTAGGATCCCTGGCTCCTCTGTAACCTCCACAAGAGCCAAGTCTGTGTTGCGTCACTGTCTCTCTCACCATCAACACCACTGCTGGGCCAGAGAAAGGCTCATAAATACTGGGACCAGCAACAGTGGGAAGTTGTGAGCAGTTTTCACCCGGGTGTTGGCAAATACCTTAGCTGTCTTTTGGACTTTTCCTGCAGACTAATTTAGTTCTTCTATTTCTTGGGGACTCGGGGAGTGTAGATGGTACTGTTCCCTGTGTCTGCCCAGAGAGCAGCCGGCCTGGTGCGGGGCAATGACTCAAAGGCAGTGATGGTATATGTGTGAAAGGGGGTGTTGACGAGGGAGTCCCTGATGAAAGGTAATGGGAAAGGAGAGCAGAAATCTGGGATTTGGTAGGTACTCTCAGGGTGCTTCCTGAGTATCACTGAGAAAGAATGTGAGCAGATGCTGGCCTAGGAGCACTGGGACATAAGAGGCAGGCGTGGTCTTGGTCCTCAGGGACCTTCTGCCCTTGTTTGATCAGTATAGCCAAGGACCCTGGCTGCTCCTTCCAGGGACTCCTGTCACTTGTCATCCAGTGAACTCTCATAGGTGCCTGGCCACGTACCACTGTGACTTGCTGATGGGTTTTTATGCCCTGTGTCCTAGCCATGTGGGGAGCCCTCTGAAAACAAGGCTGTTGTTATGTCGATGCCACAGGTGTTGCCGGATGTATGTGCACAGAGATCGTCAGGAATGAGCAGCTATGTGTTTGCTCTCTGCCTTCACTCTCTCCATCCTTGATGGTTTTGCTTGACTTGAGTCTGTATGAATAGTATTTAATTTGTTCATCATTAGGACAACCTCACATACCACAGATTTGTGGTCAGACCTGGTGGACACTGAGTCTGCATTTGATCAGTTTCAGAGATGACTAGCTCCCCAGCTAATGAAAAAGAGAAACCACCCCAGTGGTTGGATCACACATATAAACATCTGACTCCATATTTGAAGCTAGGCCCCAAAGTGTGGGGGTGCAATCGCACTGTTTATTCCCAAGAGTGCATGGCTTCCTAGAGCTTGCATGCCCATTCCCACACCTATCCAGGCAGCCACTGGCTGGCTAATCAGAGGGCAGAGCCTCTGCCTATGGAAGGAGATGACAGTGGGGTGCATGTAGGCTAGAGTCAAACAACCATCAAGTCCTGGATCCTTCCTACTTTGCCTGTCTCCTGGGGAGGGTGAGTAGACACAGACTTATGGCAACCAACTGCGCCCGTCTCCCTGTCAGTAATGAAACCACCCGAAGGCACCCTCGCCAGTTTTCGCCATATGCTCCCCAATTACAACTCAAATGCATGCCACATGCGAGGCTGTTGGAAACACATTTTCGTTTTGATGTGGCTATTCTGAAGTTAATGTGCGCAAGAACAGATGCTTTCTGTCAACCAAAGGATGACACTGCTGTTGCTGAAACTATGCTTTCGCCATGTTTGTAAAACAGAGAGGGTTTTATATCTCTTTACTAAATACTCTATTATCAGATGAAGAGAAGGTACCATTACAGTTCCTTCAACACCAAAGGGAATTTTTCTCAAAGACGGGTTCACTCTTTCCCTGTACCAGCCCAGGTTTGGCTTTTAAGGAAAAGTGCCTGACACGCTCATTCATAGGCATGTAGGTTCACGTTCACGGTCATGCCCTATGGTTTCCTCCTGCTACTGCCAGTCAGTGCATCTCTACCCGGAAACTTTGCCCTCATATCACCAGTTCCTATAACTGTCCCTCTTGGAGTCACCCAGCAGGGACGGCTGGTAGAAAGCAGGGGCCTTTGCTGCCGGGCCTCCCTTCCTGCAATCTCCCAGGGAAGAGGCTCCTGTATTAAGCTGGGGTCCCCAGCAGAAGGTGTACAACATGTCATCAAGCTACGGGCAGGCAGAAGGGAGAGGCCCTCCATCCAGTTTTACCTGAAGGGCCCTGGGCAGGGGGTTCCCACGAAGGAGTATTTCTTCCTGTGGAGGTTGGAAGTGACCCAGGCATCTCATCCTCCCCACTGCCTGCCTCCCTCCCAAGTTCCCTGATGCATTCCTAGAGAAAGGCAGCCTGAGAGCAGACGAGGGGCGGGTCTGCTGGCCCAGAGAGTCCTGATGGTATGAGTTCTTACTGGGATGCTGAACTTTCCTCACCCATAGTAATGCCACTGCCTGGCCTACTGGGGGCGCTAAGCACACCCCACTGCCAGCCATCCCTGCTCACCTGAGTTGGCACAATACCCCCACAGAGAGAGAGCTTCCTGGTCTGCTTGTTCTTATGGGGTCTGGCAAGGTCTCTCACAGTTCCTGCCACGGGCAGATCCCATCTGAATGTGTTTGCCTAGGGCTCGAGCTCACACTCTCGGAGCACAATGTCAGATTCCCTCAATGTGGCTGTGCCCTCACTGGTCAAAGATCCTCAGGGTGGCCAGTCCGACTCTTCTGGCCTCATATGTGGCAGTTGTATCAGAATTTTTTTGTATTCTCAATCATTTTGTTACTTATCCACAGCCCACAGCAGAGAGTTTGCTCAGCAAAAGTATGCAAAGAAAGCCCTGCGGTGGCACCCCCTGCTCCCTAGAGGATGGCACACAGGGGCAGGGCATTTACCTTGGGACAGGCGTCATGTTTCCAGTCTTGAGAGGTTTACAAATAGTCTGTGCCCATGAAGGATTGTTCACGTAGCTTTCCAAATTATGGACTAGTTTACATTATGAGCAAACAATTCAAGCAAAGGGTGATAAGCCTCATTGGTGTAGCCACTGATAAAACATTGGCTGCTACTTGTTTACCAGCTTGATTCACCATGGATTTTTTTTCTCTTTCCCTGAAGAGGCAGAAGGTTCATGTATTAGTTATCTATTGCTGCATAACCAATCAGCTCAAAAATAGCAATTCAAAATGGCACCTATTTATTACCCAAGAGTTTTCGTAGGTCAGAAGTCCAGCATGACTCAGTGGTGCTCTTGGCCTTGGGTATCTCAAGGCCATGATCAAGGCTGTGCTGGCTGGGCTCTTATGAGGAGACTCTGGGAAGAATCCACCTCCAGGTTTATTCAGGTTGTTGGCAGAATTCAGTTTCTTGGGCTTGTAAAACCGAGGTCCCTATGCCTTGTTTCCTGTAGGCCTGGAGTCACTCTCAGCTTTTTAGAGGTTACCCACATTCCTTGTCACATGGCTCCCCATCTTTAAAGCCAGAAGCGTGGTGTCAAATCCTTCTCCTGCTTCTAATATCTCTGACTTCTTTCTTCTGCTAATCAGAAAGCATCCTGCTTTCAAAAGGCTCCAGGATTGGATCAGGCCCACCTGGATGATCTCCATATTTTAAGGTCGATGTCAGCTGCACAGTCCCTTCCTAGCAGTGCCCACCCCGTGTTTGGTTGACTTGCCAGGGGACAGGGGTCTCAGGGGCCATGTGTAGAATTCTGCCTGCCAGGAAAGCACAGAGAAATCAAGCTCACATCCTTCCTCACACCATCCTTGACGCTTCCTCTTGTGATTGTATCTCCATTGTTGTCTCCACCAGCGAGCACCCAGGATCCTGCGCCAGAACCAGGACCAGAGGAGGAGGTGGGGCAGGTGGGCGATGATGCCAACCAGGAAGTAGCCCCTGCCCACGTGGGGACTGAGAGCGAAGTGGAGCAGGAACTGGAAGAGCGAGCCTCCCTCAGTGAGAAGGAGAGGAGGAACGAGGAGGTGAACGAGAGGGACAACTGCTCTGCCTCGAGCATCTCATCCTCCAGCAGCACGTTAGAGAGGGAGGAGAAGGAGGACAAGCTCTCCAGGGACAGGGGCACTGGTAATCAAGCCCCTTTTTCCATAAACATTCCAGGGGACCTCAGGGTGGGGGTCCTGGGTTGCTCGCCTCTGAGGTGACCGGCTGGCCCAGCTCACTCATCATGTAATAGTGACTTTATGATTAGGGATTACATGTAATGTTAGTTCTCAGTAGGGACTTGAGGAGGGAGCCACAGAGGGTTGTAGAAATTGCAAATAATTTATACAATCTTTAGAATTATTATTTATATGTGAAACCATGGGGTTGGCTTTCCTGCCCATGGTTTGAGAGCTGTCAGGTTGTCAGGGAGTCAGCTCTGTCGACTAACAGTCCTCAGAGTGGAGGCAAGTCTTACAGCCGCCTTCATCGAGCTAAGAGTGACATATATTCAAGGAGCCCTAAGGGCAGCATGGAAGCTCCACAATGGCCTGCCAACCAGTGGCATGACCCATGCCTGGCTTGTTAGTTCACAGATTAAGAATACATTATGTCTGAAGCATGGGTGAATGAATGAAAATTGAATGAATGAATGGAGCCAAAATATCTCCCATGAGACCTGCCAATCAATGGCTTAGTCTAAAATAGTTAGTAGTTGAATTTTTACCAGTTATAATATATTAGATTTTATTTACTGCAATATTAGTCAAAAGAAGACAAAAAGACTTTATTAGTTTATATCAGGGGTGGAAAACCTTTTTCTGCCAAGGGCCATTTGGATACTATAACATCATTCTTGGTCCATACAAAATTATTAACCTAAAAATTAGCTGCTATATTTGGTCAAACATTTAATTAACTCACCCCTAATGTGTTGGCAGGGACAGACCAAATGATTTCACAGACCTTATACGGCCCACGAGCCAGATGTTTCCCACCCCTGGTTTATATCTTAGGAAATATTGCATTGAAAATCTTGTGTCTGTTTGGTTGAAGATGTATGTGCTAATATGTATAAAATGTATTACTATTTCTTTAATTTCTTTCAAAGTCAGATTACAATTAGTCTCCCAAATTCTACTTGTGTATTCACATTTAATGTAATTATGGTCATAGTACAAGGTGTTGGGAAAGTCTTCCTGATCACATTTTGGCCTTAAAATGTTTTATGTTTATGCATAGCTTTCTGAGTTATTCCTCATAACCAGGTGTAGTGGGCCTAAAACATATCAACAAGTTGGCTTAGTAAACATAAGCCAGGGAACAAAACTTTCTTGGATTAAATTGTCCAATATTCTTCCAAATAAGGACAACTTTCCAAAAATGGAGACTCTGCTCCCCGGGAAGGACCATTGACTTTCCAACAATAACTGGTGGTGTCCAAGTGTATACCCTCAGGAGTTAGGGCTTTGTGGTGACTTTTCTGCTTCAGTGGTGCTAAGAGATGTGGTCATGTTTATATGTGATAGCTCTTCGGTTTTTAAAAAATCCCACTGCTCAGGCACCATTAGCAGCTGTGGAGTCTGGACAGCTCTCTCAGCATAGCTCTTGCTTTTCAGAATGTTCTCAGCTAAATCACAAAGACCATCAAAATGATTTCCAATCCTATTCTAATGATTGCATCTATTATTTGAAAATGAACTTGCAAGGCTTGAAAGATATTCAACTTATTCTCGTTGTGTAGTTTTCTTTTCCTTTGTTTCGTGTGTCCCATTCCATGCATTATCGTATGGCGAGGCATTATTGTAGCATTCATCACACTTTGTTGTAATTACGTGTGTAACTGTCCTTTGTCTCCACTTGATGTAAGCTTCATGAGGATGGGGATGTCTATCTTGTTCATTGTGAGCTCATGCTGGGCGTCCAGAACACAGTAGGGGCTCACAAAACCATTGATGAATAAATTAATGAGGAGGCATCTGGTTAAGATGGAGAAGCTCCATTGCTCCCAGGTCTCCCTCTGACAACTAAATTATAAACATCCTGGGCATAACAGAACAACCAATCATAGGGAGATGCTGAAATGTGGAAAGAAAACAGACTACCTAGGGACCTTCAGACTTGAATGGCATGGCAATGAAGCATCAAATAAAGTTTATTCCCCTAGCCAAAAGATTGGGAAAAGTATTGCCTAACAGAACAGAAAATCTTTTTATTATCAATACATTTCCTGCCCTAGACAAGCGCCACTAATGGAAAATCTGTGGCTGTCCTATCCTCCATCCCCACCCCACCCAGTAGCTTCCAAATAACCAGATGTGTCAACCATGAATTCTATATCCAGCAAAACTAACCATTAGGAATGAAGGGAAAATAAATACAGTTAAAGAAAACTTAAGAGAATTTGTCACTAGCAGACCTCCTCTTAAAGAATGGATAAAGGAAGTCCTCTGAACAGAAAGAAAATGAAGACAGAAGATAACTTGAAATTTTAGAAAGGAACAACAGAATGAGTAAAATTAGGGGGAAATTTAACAGGCTGTCTTTTTCCTCATGAGCTTCTTAAATCATATTTGATGTTGTAAGCAAAAATTACAGCATATTTGATATTGTGCTCATATATGTAGAGGAAATACAACAATTATATTTTAAAAGTGGGGAGGGTAAAGGCATCTAAATGGAAGTAAAGTGTCTACACTTCTAAGTAGTAAAACATCAATACCAGGAGACTAATGAGTTAGTGTGTGTACTGTAATACCTAGAACCGTGGTCAGCAAACTGCGGCTTGCGAGCCACATGCGGCTCTTTGGCCCCTTGAGTGTGGCTCTTCTAAGCCTTAGGAGTACCCTAATTAAGTTAATAACAATGTACCTACCTATATAGTTTAAGTTTAAAAAATTTGGCTCTCAAAAGAAATTTCAATCATTGTACTGTTGATATTTGGCTCTGTTGACTAATGAGTTTGCCAACCACTGATCTAGAGCAACCACTAAGAAAATTACACAAAGCAACATACTCCAAAACACTATAAATCAAGTTGAAATTCTAAAAAAATGTTCAAGTAAGCTACCAAGACCAAGAAAGGAGAAACAGGACTGAAACAAAGGAAACAAAAAATATAAGTAAAATGGGAGACTTAAGCACTAACATATCAATAATTACTTTAAAATTAAAAGACTAAGATTTGCAGAATGGATAAATTGCAACCCAACTCTATGCTATCCGTACAAAACTTATCTATATACATAAAAGCGTAATATGCAAATCAACCAGATGGTGGAACGACCGGTCAGCTATGATGTGCACTGACCACCAGGGGGCAGACACTCAACACAGGAGCTGCCCGCAGCCCACAGGCCCCAATTGCCCTATGGGGAACTGGGAACCGTGGGTGGGTAGTGGTGGACATAGACGGTGCTGGGGCCCGATCGCCCTGCTGGTGGCCCCACACACAGAGAGCAGCCAGTGGTGGCAGGGGGTGGAGGGTGGGGCCAGCTGCCGGCAGCTGGGGAAGATTGGCCCTGATCGAAGGCCAGGCCTAGGGACCCTACCCATGCACAAGTTTCGTGCACCCGGCCTCTAGTTTCAAATATAATGACATGGGCAGATAGAAAGTTAAAGGTTGGGCAAAGATATAGCATGCCAACATTAATAAGAAAAGCAGGAGTAGCTATATTCATATCAGATAAAGTAGAGCAGAGGAAAAAACTAGGGACAAAGAAGCACTCCGCATAACGATGTAAGAAGACCTAAGTGAATGAAGAGGGCAAGTGAGAAGACCGGCATTTAAAATGTTACCTGATTAGGCTCTTCTGCCTGTGGCCAAAATACGAAATTGCCAACATTTCCCAATAAATGGAGAAAGAGTGAGCCAATCTGGGAGAGAGAGAGAGAGAGACTCAGCCACTGTATCTGCTCCAGCCTCCTGGCGTCAAAGCAGTCTCCCTGTTTATGGGCTGTATGACCAGTTGTAGGGACTCCAAATAACCAGATTTTTCCGTCATGCCCTCAAATGCCTCTCCTGTCTCTTTGGTGGTGTGAGAGTTTTTTTGTTTGTGGAACCTACAGGAGGGCTCCAACACTCCTTGCTCTGGTGTTGGTCCCTTGGGGAGGTTAGGCCACTCAGAGCGGAGCATGGAGGACAAAGCTGCACTGGAAGAAACAGCACATGGGGCTTGTGCTTCCCCACCGAATGCCTCCTCTAAGTCCAAGGCGGAGCTGTGGGCGAGACCAGAGTCCTCCCCAGCATGTTTGATCGGGCTCCTCTCCTTCAGTAAAACGAAAGCTCCCCATGCTCACGTCGATGGCCTCGGTCTCCTACCACCTCCCAATACAAGTATCTATGGAGGCTCTGGTATCAGGTGGAAACCACATTCTGAAATGCCTTTCCCATAGTCCTGCTAGCCCTTAGGAAGCAAGCTCAGAGGAATGACATCCTGAACATTCATTCATTCATACATTCATGCTAGATGCTGGGGATACAACTGTGAACAAAGCACTTGTGGAGTTTACATTCCAATGAAGAAGACAGTTTAACCACTAATTATAATTTTTCTAGTGATGGGGAAAAGACAGCAATAAAATAAATTAGAAAATTATGTGGAAGGTTATATAGTAATAAGTGCTCTGGTGAAAAATAAAGCAGGAAAGGATGATAAACAGTGTTGGCGAGAGAGAGCATTGCACAGTTTTAAATAAGGTGTTTGGGGAAGACTTTGCTGAGAAGTTACTATTTGAGCAAAGGCATAAAGGGTTTTGAGGAGCAAACCATGCGATTAACTGGGTGCAGTTTGTTTAGGAGGGACAAGGGCCCTGAGGCCGGGTCATGCCTGGGGAGTTCTAGGAATGCCAAGGAGCTGCTGTAGCTGAAGATGTTCATGTCTGTCTGCCTGGGGTGGTGGCGGTAAATGAAAAACAACTCAGGTAAGATCACACGAGGCTTGTGAACATTGCAAGGTCATTGGTTTTCTGTCTCAGGGAAATTTGACATCGTTAGAAGACTTTGAGCAAAAAGGTATGATCAGATATTTTAACACATCACGTGGCTGTTGTATTGACAATTGACTGTGGAGGGGCAAGAGTTGAAGCTGGGACCAGTGAGACCTTGCAATGCTGTAGGCAAGAAACCATGCTGGCTCAGCCCAGGGTTGTGACGGGGGAGGTGATAAAAAAAAAAGATTGGATTCTGACTATAACATGACCATTTAACTAACAGGATGCCCTGCTGTGTGGGATAAAAGAAGAGGAGGTGTCAAAGATGACTCAGATTTGGGGGATTGGCAGAAAGATGAAGTTTCCTTATCCTAGACAGGAAACAATTTCAGGAGAAGCAGGTTCAGTGAGGGGGCTGGGGGCGAGGGCAGAAGATGGTATTTAAAGCCCTGAGATTGGATGAGATGGTGACTAAGAGAGTGAGTAAGGTTGGAGAGAAGAGGTCCAAGGACATTTCAAGGGTAAAGATAAAGGAGGAATCGGCACAGGATACTGAGAAAGGAGCAGCCAGAAAAAAGGAAGCAACCCAGCTGAGTGCAATGTCCCGGAAGCCAAGTGAAGCAAGTGAAGGATCTAAGTAAGGGAGGAGGGTGAGCAGCTGGGGCTAGTGCAGCAGGCAAGGCGGCGGTCGCCTGGAAAGGAGCAGGTTTGAAAGGTGGAAGGAGCAAAAACTTCCTGAGACTCATTCAAGAGAAAATAGAGAAACTGGAAACAGTGAGCAAAACAAAACAAAACAAAACACAAAAACACCTCATCAGCATCTTTACTTTAAAGGAAAGGAGAAAAGTTGGATTATAGTAGGAGGGATACATGGAGTGAATGGTGGGCTTTTTGTTTGTGTTTTCTAAGATGGGTGAAGTTAGACCATGTTCAGGTGCAGGTGGTCGAGTGGAGGCGTAATGAAAGCCCTGGTAGATTTTTCTGACTTTGTGAAGTTGTTAAACTAGGGAGCAGGGCCACGCTGTGCGAGGATGAGATGGGTGAGGGGGGTAGAGGAGAGAGGAGGGTGTGAAAGGTCACCTAGGGGAGGTCTTAGAGAGACAGCCAGGAAGCTTTAAGGGTCTCCTGAATTTTAAGTGCAACCTGTGGCGTGGTGTATGCATCTCTCTGGGCGATTTGAGCTGCCCTGGTGCGATGTGGAGGAGGGAGAGCGATGGAAATAACCCCACAGCCTCTCGGAGGCCTCTGGGGGAGGGAGCATCTTCCTTGCCTCCCTGTGTGCTTAGGACAGAAGCCCCTTGGTCGCCTGTGGCTGGGTCCTGACCAGCTGTCATGGTGAGTAGTGAAGGTCAGGAAAAGTCTCCCAGGAGCCTGGCAGTGTCACACGTACAGGCGTCGCGGGTCCTGGAGCAGGTCACTGGACGTTAGATGCAGCATCTGCACCTGGTCGAGGGCATTTTGCCAGCCATGACCGCCTTCCTCTTCGGGGGTCTTGCTTCCCTGTCTCCTCTGAGTGGCCGTGTACAGAAAGCCCACAGATTCCCTACCTGGTTTTCTCGGGGTGTGGCCCTGCGCCTTTCTCATTTTTCTCTCTCCTATCTGCTTTCAGGTTTGTGGTCCGCGGGGGTTCAGGATGCCAGTGTAAATGAACAGTGTGGCGACATCCTCACCAACAAACGCTTCATGCTGGACATGCTGTATGCCCATAACAGAAAGCCCACGGATGCCGAGGAGAAGGGGGAGGGCGAGCCCGCGGGCGCTGAGCAGGGGGCAGAGGCAGTGCCCAGCCTGGCCAGCAGGATATCCACGCTGCAGGCCAGCTCCCTGGCGCAGGACGAGAGTGTCAGGAGGGTGGACGTGGGCTGTCTGGACAACCGGGGCAGCGTGAAAGCCTTCGCGGAGAAATTCAACAGCGGGGACCTGGGGAGAGGGCCCGTCTCCTCCGACACCCAGGCCGATGACACGGTCCCGGAGAAAGCATCCCCCCAGCCCAAGACGGAGTCCGACCACATCTGGGACCAGCTCATGGCCAACCCAAGGGAGCTCAGAATCCAAGACATGGATTTCACCGACCTGGGAGAGGAGGATGACATCGACGTCCTAGACGTGGACCTGGGTCATGGGGAGGCCCCTGGGCCGCCTCCCCCACCGCCACCTACCTTTCTGGGTTTGCCGCCCCCACCCCCTCCACCTTTGCTGGACAGCGTGCCTCCCCCTCCCATCCCTGGTAATTTATTGGCTCCTCCTCCAGTATTCAATGCTCCTCAGGGCTTAGGGTGGCCCCAGGTACCCAGGGGTCAGCCGGCATTCACGAAGAAAAAGAAGACCATCCGTCTGTTCTGGAATGAAGTGCGGCCTTTCGAGTGGCCGTGTAAGAACAACCGGCGCTGCAGAGAATTCCTGTGGTCAAAACTGGAACCTATCAAGGTGGACACTTCCAGGCTGGAGCACCTGTTCGAGTCTAAGTCTAAGGAATTGTCCGTCTCAAAGGTACCGCCAGCATCTGGCCTGCTTCCTGACTTGCAGAGTTTTTTTCCGCTGTGGAGTGGGACTGGAATTTGTTGTCTGTTAAATTCCCTTTGTGCTGCTTTTGCTGTTTGGTTAAAAAAAAGGGGAGGGGAGGGCAGTTAGTATAAAAATCTGACCTTTGCTATTTTACTCTTTGTGCCACGTCCTAGGTGTAAGCTAAATGAGTAAGGGGCCCCAGTAGCTGACATAGATAGCAGTCCACAAACACCATTAAGTAAAGTAGCTTTCAAAGACCCAAATGACCTGGAGGAAAAAACCAAAAGGTTAACCCGGGAATATTAGCATCACCTCACAGCAGATGTTGGCACCCGCCCCCCTCCTCCCAACTAGAGGAGAGCAGACTCGCTCATTTATCCAATACGTGGACTTTATCCACGTGATTAATTACTCTTACCTTCAGAGATCAGAGCTGAAAGGAGTACAGTGGGGCCTTGACTTACGAGTTTAATTCGTTCCAAGACCGAGCTCCTTAAGGAGCTTGTTAACTCAAATTACTCTATCAACTCAATGCAAAAAATCGGCCGAGAGACAGCTGGTATCTCAAAAAACTCGTTAGTCGGGACACTCGTAAGTCAAGGCCCCACTGTAGTTTGAACCTCAGCTGTAACCACACAATGCTTTTGCAAAGACAGTAATTCAAGTGCCATTTCTTTGAATAATTCCTGGCTGCATCAGCATAAAGCAGCTATCTAAATAGTTCCAAACAGCCATAGCGTTGGCATCCTGCAAATATTACGCATCCATCTAGATTCCTGATTCTTCATAAATGTCTGAGAGTTCTGCAGGCTTTGCTGCTGTGGCGTTTTTAATAGAGATGTCACAGCCCCTTTTATAAATGGGAAGCACTGTGCACGAAGTTACTGGGCATTAAGGATAAAGTCACGGTTAACGAGAAAGGAAGCGGCAGCGTCCTGCATCACAGGTTTTATTTCTAATGATTTGGTTCTTCTTTACAGATCTGAAAGAACTGGTGGGTTGTTGTTTTTAAAACCCTTGTGATTTGGGGTGTGTTACAGTTTTAAAACAGGTTTAAGACGACCCTCACTTCTCAGGAACGAGGGGTGTAAGAAAACACTTTGTGAAGTATAATTGAGAGCAGTGGTTCTCAACCTTGGCTGCACATTAGAATCACCTGGGAATCTTTTTAAAATCCTGATTTCTGGGCCTCATCCTCCGGAAATTCTGTTTCTTTGTTACTAATGTTGTGGCCCCACCCATAACAGAATTTCCGGAGGATGAGGCCCAGAAATCAGGATTTTAAAAAGATTCCCAGGTGATTCTAATGTGCAGCCAAGGTTGAGAACCACTGATTTAGAGTGACCACTTAAGAACTTATTCTCAGGAGTTAATTCCAGCTCCATGTGTTTCTCCATTTACCATTGTTTGGGGGAGTATAAGGCTGCTTGAGTCAGGCTCTCTGACCTGCCAGTCGGGCGCCTATTCTGAATCAAAAAGTACGTGCTGCATCCTCAGGCAAGAGCGCCCTCAGACAGGGGGTCCAGTGACGGAGTTAGTGCCTGTCCGTGCGTTGTTGACTGAGCAGGTAGGGGGGCTGTAACCAGTCAACTTTCTGTTAAAACGTGTGTTGTGTGTGACTTTCCAGGGTAACATGTGGTGCTCAGCCAGCCATGTGTCCCCTGCAGTTTTTTAAAATATATTTTTATTGATTTCAGAGGGGAAGGGAGAGGGAGAGAGAGAGAAAAACATCAATCATGAAAGAGAATCGTTGATTGGCTGCCTCCTGCACTGCCCCCTCTGGGGATCAGGCATGTGCCCTGACTGGGGACCGGGAATCGAACTGTGACCTCCTGGTTCATAGGTCGACACTCAACCCCTGAGGCACCACGGCCGGGTCCCTTCACTTCTTAAAGTCAGGCCTGCCATTCAGGGAAGATGGGCCTGGCTGGGTTAAAACTCGGTCTCTGGTTGCCAGGAGTTATCCAGCAGTTGACCTCACTCATTCCAGCCTCCACCCTGCTGATCTAGTTGGCCCTTCTCCCTCTTCCTCCTCCTCCCCCCACCCCTTACTGGGCTCATCTGGCTGGCTTTAGCCTCTAGGCCCCCCCCTGCTAGCTCATCACCTCAGAGGTGGCTGGGGAGAGGCTGGCCCTGGACTCCAGGCAGGAGGAATAAAGGGAGGAACAGTTTGGCAGTGAAGGCACCTCTGACTTCATTTTTGCAAAGGACATGGTAAGATTAGAAGCTTCCTGGAGAAGACCCCAACTGGACAGTTCCCCTCCCTCCCCTCTTCTTGGTCCCACTGTGGTCGGTGACAAGTCTGGTTGGTGCCCTTCCAGGAGCCCAAAGGTTCCTTCTTGCTTGACATAGGTGGTGACCTCTTAAAATAAGTTATTGCCTAGCCAAAGGGCACATGTTTGCCTAGTTTTGTATAAAGTGAAAGCATAAGAGTAAAGTAATATATTGAAAAATTTACCAGAAGCACTCCAGAATTTTCTACAACAGGACCCAGGAGCCCATACCTTTGTTTTGGGGGGATAGGGAATGTGAGCAGGGGATAATTTACAAATGCTACAAAAGGTGAGCATGAAAATTAGGGTTAAAACGCAGTACATTGGAGAGTTGGGTCCATCGTGTGTATGTTACCACTGCAGCTATAGCCAGTTTTACTTCTGTTCCTAATGCATGACTGGGACTTTTATGAAACACAGCTGTAAGCAGCCACTTCCGAATCCTGACTCACGAGAAGTTTTTCATTAAACACAATGGAGTGCAACAGAAATAAAATGAAGTCAATTTTGCAAGACAGCACATAGCAACCGGAGTCTGTTTCCGTTCCTGTTAGAGACCTTACACGAGACCAGCATCAGAACAGGGCACGGCTCTGACCATCCGAGTCCTCTCCACCCCCATCAAAGATTCGTGTGCAAGAGCCAGGCTGGGTCAGCACTTCACGGAAACGATAAGAACAGAAAGATGTGCTTTTTGGTTTCCTTTCCAAATAGTTTCTGGAACTGGATCTACATTTCTCTCTCGCTCTCTCTCTGCAGGAAATGTATATATAGCTTTTTAGTAAGATGACTTTAATTATGTTTTGTGGAGAAAGACAGAAATCCTGTGCTGAATTTCATCATGTTGTGTTTCTACTGTTGGTCTAAGATGTGGAGAATCACATAGGGCAAAAGGGAAAGATGTAGGGTCTGGAGACAGACCCTCTGTGAACTTGATGTCATCCTGAGGAGCCCCAGGAAGTGGCCTTCTAACTCATGTGTCTAATAAAGGGCTGCAAAGGGCAGCCTTTATCTTCCACGTTACAGACAGACCAATACAGGTATGGAGGGAAGAGATGACCAGAATGAAGAAGGGGACTTTGCTTTCCCTTGGGAGCTCAGTGCTGTCTTACCTTGGGTTCATTTGTTTACCATGAAGAGGGGGCTCTAGAATTGATTTGGAGAGATTGTTCAACTTTATTTGCCCTGAAGTTTCTAAATGTATCAGAATCTATTAGCTGTGACTTAAAAAAAAAATTCAGCGGTGACAATGTCCAGGTTGGGGTACCAGATAAACTACATGAACATTAGAAATGTACCTGTTTTGCAGTTGGCCTCTGCCATAGAAGACCCAAAGGGAAAGAATGGGAAATTAATTAATACTAATTAATACTTAATTAAAATTAAGCCTATTTTTGGCAAGTTCCTCAGAAGCATCATTCCTAACTGAGGGTGTTTCAGCCATTATGTAGGCTCAGTAGGGTGTTTTTTTAAAAATATATTTTATTGATTTTTTACAGAGAGGAAGGGAGAGGGATAGAGAGTTAGAAACATCGATGAGAGAGAAACATCCATCAGCTGCCTCCTGCACACCCCCTACTGGGGATGTGCCCGCAACCAAGGTACCTGCCCTTGGCTGGAATCAAATCTGGGACTGTTCAGTCCACAGGCCGACACTCTATCCACTGAGCCAAACCGGTTAGGGCCTCAGTAGGCTTTTTGTTGTTGTTTTGGTTTTTGCCTTAATGCTTTTCCATATGTATTGCCTGCTCCCTTGTTACAGACCTTAGGAAAATTCCATAGTTGTCACATCTGCTGACATGTGTATCCTGGCACCCTGGTCGTGGCCATTTTCTCAACGAACAGCTTTGAAACTGTCCAGTGGCGTCACTCTCTTGGCAGTTGGCGGGGAGCGAGGAGTAATTTGCCATTTCTGAGCCAGTGTCCTCCTGAGCCTGTCCGAGGGGCTGTGGCAAGATGTTGAGAGGCATGTTGAGAAGTCGGTCGCCTTTCATGGAAGTGCTGTCAAACTCAGTGGCATTCTCTGAAACTCTCCGAGTCCTCTCAGTAAATCATGTCCCTAGCCAGTTTCTATTTTCAGTCGAAACACCCTCTGGGGTGATACGTTCTATGTGCTGAATATCCTCTTTTAATTTTTTAATATATTTTTAATTGATTTTAGAGAGAGTGAGAGAGAGAAACATTGATATGACAGAGAAAGATCATTACCTTCTGTAGGCACTCTGACCAGGATCAAACCCACAACCTGGGTATGTGCCTTTCGGTGTATGGGATGATGCCCAACCAACTGAGCCACACCAGCCAGGGCGAAATATTTACTTTTTTAAAATTATATTTTTATTGACTTCAGAGAGGAAGGAAGAGAGAGAGAGAGAGAGAGAGAGAGATAGAAACATCAATGATGAAAAAGAATCATTGATCGACTGCTTCCTGCACACCCCCAACTGGTAATTGAGCCCGCAACCCTGGGATGTGCCCTTGACCAGAATCGAACCTGGGATCCTTCAGTCCACAGGCCGACACTCTATCTACTGAGCCAAACTGGCTAGGGCTGAATATCTACGTTTTAAAGGCTACATTTTTTTATTTTAATTTTTTTCAAATTACTCTTTAAAAATTCTAAGGGGTGATCCTTTGTGGCAGCATTCCAGGAAAATATGGAAAATAAGGCCTGTTCACCTGCCCAGAGCGCATGCCTCCACAAGCTTTGGT